GTGCTGGAACGTGCGCACACTTCTGGACCGGAACTCCAGCGAGCGCCCGGAGCGACGCACTGCACTGGTCGCGATGGAGCTGGCGCGCTACAACATCGATATTGCGGTGCTCAGTGAAACTCGGCTCGCTGAGCAAGGTAACTTGCATGAAGTAGGTGCTGGCTACACATTCTACTGGGTGGGCAAAGCCGCCTCAGCACCACGTGAAATGGGGTCGGATTTGCAATATGCGATCGCCTGAATGGCCAGCTGGTGGGTGAACCAACAGGCATCAGAGCTCGAATGATGACTGTTCGCCTACGACTCGGAAGAGGTAAGTTTGCTACTTTGATAAGCACGTACGGTCCGACTATGTGTGATCCTGATGACACGCGTGCTCAGTTTCACACTCAGTTGTTCTCCGTGATACGGCCTGTGCCCAGGAGCGACCGACTATTTTTGCTGGGTGATTTCAACGCGCGCATTAGGCGTGATGCATCAGCATGCACAGATGTTATCGGTGCGCGTGGCATTGACGCAGCGAATGCGAACGGTGACAGGCTGCTCTCACTGTGTGCCACTCACGGCCTGACGATCACGAACACTCGGTTTGCACTGAGTGCGAATGATACGGCAACTTGGACGCACCAACGGAGTGGTCACGCTCACCTGCTCGACTATGTCATCGTACGTCAGCGTGATATGCATGAAGTGCGCATGACACGTGTACTGCGTGGAGCTGAGTGTCGCACTGACCACAAGTTGGTGCGGACCAAACTGTACATATATTTTCGTAGATTTATGTATTGCACTCCCACCGTGAATCGGCGTAAATCTAACATTCTCTCCATCGGTACTGTGGCGAAACGTACTGAGCTGGAAAAGGCGATGGCTACGCGCCTGTGTGATGTGGATTGCATGACCACAGTGGGCGACCTGTGGCACCACATTCGCGACCAGTTGACAGCTGCTGCCGAGGAGACTATCTAGCGCGCAAACTGGAAACGGCCTGATTGGTTTGATGAGAACAATGCGACGACTAGCGCATTGGTGTCGGAGAAGAATGCAGCATTTGCTGCACATGTCGTAGACCCCAGTGACTTGGGGAAGAGTAGTCAGTTTCGCAAACTTCGACGGCGACTGACCCGAGAGCTCCGTCGCATTAAAAATGCATGGTGGACGGAGAAGGCGAAGCAGATGGAATGCTACGCCGAACGCCGCCAACACAAGGAATTCTTTGACTCGTTGATGGCGGTGTATGGACCGAGGTTGGAGCCGCTGAGGACACTGATCGATGGTAGTTCAGGCGCTACCTGCACCCAGACTGCAGACATAATGCAGATCTGGCGAAAACACTTCGACTGTCTCTTGTAAAACCGTTCAGAGATCGACTGGCCTACATTGAACTGCCTGAAGCAGCACAGGTGAATACGAGTCTGGCGGACTCGCTGACACTGGATGAGACGCAGAGAGCACTTGCTCAGGTGCGAAACGGCAAATGTGCCGGAGCCGACGGGATCCCGCCTGAAGTATTGAAACACGGCGGACCCCCTTTGTTGACTGCGCTGCACCACTTGGTGCAACGTGTATGGATTGAGGAGGAGGTGCCTCCTGAGCTGAAGGATGCCATTGTGCTACCACTGTACAAGGGAGCAAGCAATGTTGCACGAATTATCGTGGCATCAACTTGCTGAGTTGTGTGGGCAAGGTGATTGCCCGGATCCTGCTCAACCGCCTCGTCAGTCAGGTTATGGAACCGAACGTGGCGGAAGAGCAGTGTGGATTCCGTTCGGGTCGCAGCACTATAGATATGGTGTTTGCGGCTCGTCAGTTGCAGCAGAAATGCAGAGAACGACACCAGCCTCTGTACTCGCTGCTTGTCAATTTCACCAAAGCAATAAATACGGTGAACCGCGAGGCATTGTGGCTGGTGTTGGGTAAGTTTGGTTGCCCACGTAAGTTTGTAAGTGTAATTGAATGTCTGCACAGTGGTATGCGAGCGAGGGTGCAGCTGAGTGAAGAGACCTCGGATGACTTTGCAGTTGTCTCTGGTGTGAAACAAGGCAGTGTCTTAGCTCCTACCATGTTTAATCTATATCTTCATGCAATGATGTCTTGTGCTTTTGATGCGGCTTGTGCTTACGGTGTTCGTGTGGAGCACCGTATTGATGGTGGGTTGCTGAACCTCCGTCGTTTCGGTGCGAGAACTCTAGTCTGTGAAACAACTATCCATATGTTTCTGTTTACTGACGACTGTGCGTTGTTTGCACATAGCGCAGATGAGTTGCAGTACATGACTAGTGCTCTGGTTTCGATAGCGGCCAAACTTGGGCTCACCATCAACACAAGCAAAACTATCTGTTCATTTCAGTCTCCATCTGAAGTGCAACGTGAAGTTGGGCCGCCACCCAGCACTGGTGATGAAGTATTTGGAAACCACCTGCCGCTTTTGCTACCTTGGGAGTGTGGTCTCGACTGATCAGCTACTACACAGTGAGCTGCGTATCCGCGTGTCGAAGGCAGCGGCGGCATTCGGGAGGCTTGAGTACCGAGTGTGGAATAAACCAGCAGCTTACCGTTGGCACGAAGCTGATGGTGTACAAATCCACGGTACTGTCTGTTCTTCTATACGGCAGCGAAACGTGGACGATATACTGGCGAGATGTTGGATATCTCGAGCGGTTTCATTAAGTGTGTCTGTGACGGATTCTCCGCATCGGTTGGGGCGACAGAGTTGCAGACCCTGAGTTGTTGCACCGAAATGGAATGTATGCAGTGGACTGCATACTTTTGCTGAGACACTTGTGGTGGCTCGGTCATGTGTAGCTTATGAATTCGACGCAGGTACCGAAACAACTCTTATATGGTCAACTGAGTGTTGGAAAGCGGCATTTGAGGATACAGAAGCATCGTTATCAGGACATGATCAAAGTGCGCGTATCACGTTCTAATGTTGATTTCAAAAGTTGGGAATCGTAGGCGCTTGATTGACGTGTATGGTGGGATCTGATCATGAAGGTAGTTGCCGAGGTGCACGAGAAAGCCCCTGTGCATGCAAAGAAGAAGCGGCAACTGAGGAAGCGACAGGCGCCGATGGGGTGTACTCCATCGACGTCGAGCGCATGGTGTTGTAGCACATGCGGTCGCGAGTGCCTGAGTCAGGCAGGCCTAGTGAGTCACGAGGGAGGCCACTCGGGACCACTACCGAAGTGACGACGGTTCCTGAAGAGAAGGTAGGCAGAAACGGCGCAGTGTTTGTAGGTACGCTGCACTCGATTTACTAACCGCGTGCTTGGATGCTAAATCTCTTTATTTCAGGTGGTGGGTTTTCAGTTTTGTCCTAATGCCTTTCTTTCTCCTATAAATGTCTAGTGTCTAGTGAGCCATGAGCGAGGCCACTCGGGACCACTACAGAAGCGACGCCGGGTCCTGCAGATAAGTATTCAAAACCGGCGCAGCGTTTGTAGATACGCTGCATTCATTTTACTAACCGCTTGCTTGCGTGTTAAGTCTATTTATTTCAGGTGGTGGGTTTTCAAGTTTGCCTTAATGCTTTTCTTTCTCATATAAATGTCTACCTGTACTCTATTCCATTAACTTGCACACCTCGCTTAAGCCAATTGTATTCGATTTCCATAACGTTTTGTGTTCGTGGCATTTCAGTAAAGTATAATTTCTGACCTCGTGAACTTATCTAGGATTCGTTTGTAAACAACTTATTTCATATGCTCACTAACTTAAGGTTTATGTCACCGTTTCCTTATGCATTAATTGAGTTATTTTCTTTGTCTCTCTCTCTCTCTCAAGTGTTTGGCTGTTGTTTGATATCCCCGGTGTGGATGCGCTTGATGTGCATGTTGACAAGGTGCCTACCTGTCTATTACCCACTACCTCGTCCATACTGGCTCCAGGAGACAGTTGGTCGTTGCTGGAGAGGACGGGGTGCACGGTTCTTGTGGCCGTGTTAGGATTAAAGAGTGGTTCCATGCACTCAGTGTGGAGCGGACTACGGTCCAGCCACCGCCTTGTGTACACTTGATTCCCAAATACAGTGTGCTTGTGTTTGCCTGTGAAGGAGTGTGGGCCGGCTCCGTTGATGAAACGTGCCCCCCCCCTACATGCCTCTCGGTCTTATTCCTTCGGTTTTACACTGGATATGGGGTGTGTGGTTGGAGCTGTGGGTGGTGCAGCGCAAGCCATCCATGGTCCCTCTGTAGGCGTAGGCGTCCTGTGGCTGACCACAGTGACAGGCAAATCCGAAACCGGATGCCGCCAACCCTATATATACGCAGCTTCTCGCTTAAGGAGAAATATAACTCTTTTAGTTTTTATTATTAGATGGATGGCTTTGGTTCCGACTCCACTATCGGCTTTTTCAATCCAACTGCCAAGCGCAATTTTCAAGTTGATAGTACATAACCGGTGTTGATGGAAGCGTTGGTGCTACGGTGCTATTATTTTAATTCTAACGAAAAACATCTTCGTCCGACATTCTTGTACTAAGTCCTTTTCGCATAATGCTGTGGTTAGCATGATTCATACTTCTCAAACTTACGTAGCGTGTTTTAAGAGCTGCTAATGTTCACCGAGGGAAATCCAAAACGCACAGATCATATAAGAATTGATTGATGTGTCACAAATATGCATTTGTATGCGATGGAAGCAGTGTTGTTAGTACACTGGAACGATGACTTATGATGGGTAGGGTAGCACAGATTTAACATGTCCAGTAGGTTGGCAAAAGAACTGAGCTTCGAATACCACATAAGTGGACCAAATAAAATACGCGTCGGCGAAACAATAGAGTACTAGCGTATGAAAGCAGGTTGTGAGAATGAGGTAGTACTAGGCAAAACGAAATAATAAAATGTTACGGTGAATACACATTGAAGAAGCAAGCATATTGCTCACTCCTGATGGTACTGCTCCATACACAGGGCGATCAGGGACAACTGCAAGGTTATCTACGTGCGCTACTTGTACGAGGTCAGTCTATTCAGAATTCGCCCAGTCTTACCTACCTTGAATACAAACGTTTCGTTAAATACGGGGTTCAGTGTCTTTCTGTGAACCTTCGTCTCGAACTTCTTCTTCTTTTCGGGTAACAGGAACACTTTTACGTACGGATCCGATGTTCCAGACATGTCCATTCCTGGCAAGTCTGTGGCTTGGATCACACCAACAGTCAGCTGCAAAGGAAAATAAGTTGTACCATGAATTCTCACTATGCTGAAACTGGAAAAGCATATTCGTCAGATGTTATCTACCTCACAACCTGGCACCAGTCCAGATAGTAGACAAATGTTTTTGTTCATCCAGGATGAACTGTCTGTGATTACTCAAACGCTTCATAACTATTTTACGGTCTGAGATTTTATGAAACAGATAATTAGACAGTGTCGAGGTAGTTTCCCCGAGTACCCGATTGTTCAGATGTCGTTACCGTTTATCGGCATTTCTGTCTACATCAATATGCACCCTCAGTTTAGTTTAGCGGAAACGAACCCATGTAGCAAATTTGTCCATTTTGATGCCTATTATGGAATGTCTGGACAACACGGCCAGGTTCTTCCATTTTTCTCAAGCAGCCCGTCCACAAGCTATGACAAATCATCTCTAAATTAATTTTGTTACCTCGGGTAACGGTTGGTGAAATGTAACTGAACTGACTCTCCAACTTAATCCAATGAACTGCGGTCGTATCAGATTGGCACTCGTCAAACTTCAGTACTTGTATCTTTTTACAGTCGCAGCGTATTGAACGTACACGCAGTCGAGAAGTGCCAGTTTCCTGGATTGAGTTGCTTGCTACGGACATACTCTGGACAGTTCACGACACCGGCCGATTCGGCATGTTCAATGGATTGATTGACTGCATTCTAGTAAATGATCAATACTGTTGTTGCTTACCGAACCCCACCCCAGCACAGTAGCCCAGGAGAATCCGAATGACGCAGAATACGTTTTTCCACCATCGCTCCAGAAAAATGATAGATGCTTCATGGCTTCGCATTCTGTATCCACCTTTGGCCATGTTCGAAGTTCGCACCGCATAATCCACGCACACATTCTCATCTCCTGCACGATCTGAAGGTATCGATATCACCCAACGAACAGTTCAAAGCAGGCTTGCATGAACTTGTCGCTAATATTCCCTTGTACAATCATGTCACCACGCTCATTAGACTCAGGACGGCAAACAAACCGTCCATGTTGTACCTTGTCCTCACGAATAAAAAGCTCATGGTTGACAACTTATTGACGGTTAGTCCAATAGTTACCAGCGACCATGTAGTAATAACGTTCAACTATATGCGTTATGCAGAGTATTCATCTGCACACTCGAACTAACTCATCCAATCACAGGCTACTACGTCTTGAAAGAATTCGTCGTTGCATCTACTTAGGAATTCTCAAACAAAAGTTCACTTGACATCTTGTGGATAGAGTTCGTTGATAGACTCAGCAACATCGTCAACAGCGCACCAAAGACCAAGTCACTTCTTCCCTCAAAAATGCCCTCAATTCTAAGGAGTAGGACTCGAAAATCAGTGGCCTGCCTACTTAGAGACTTGGGGTAATTTCCTGACCCATGGTAAACATTGCACTGCACTTGTTCGTGAGGACAAAGTAACTTATCAACAGTGCCTAGCCATAAAAATTCCTGGCAAACAACAATCTGCTGTATATGCATGTCAAAAAACTTCGTAAAATGAATCATGTAACCCCTCCATTTTTCACGACAGGCGGTAGAGTACAAAGTGCCGAAGAAGCAGCTAATGCCCTGCGGCTACAATATGCCCCAATTTTTGAACTCGCAACCTCTACCTGTCCCATAATGTCATGCACATTACCGACACCATTGTTTAAAAATGTAATTCTCAACCCATCAATTGTGCTAAGGAAGTTACTCTCACTGCGTGGGCATACTTCTCCGGGAGCAGACAACATCCGCCCGAAGGCACTGAAAGCTGCGGCCACCAAGCTAGCTGAACTACTGTCATATTTTTCCAAAGGTGCTTTGATGAACAACAAGTCCACACTATGTGGAAGTGTGACATTATCACCCCACTTTTTAAAGGCGGTAGCCCTTCAGAGCCTGCAAACTATCGCTCAGTAATTCTGCTTTCTGTGCTCGCGAAAGTGATGGAAACGGCTGTCGCTGAGGTTATAATGGACTACCAGAAAAAGTGCTACTTCTTGACACCGGAGCAGCATGGCTTCCGTCAACACCAGTCATGCATCACCAACCTGCTGATTGCACGAGGTAGTTGGACGGAAGTGGCTGATGATGGGGTCGGAGTTGTGGTCATCTCTCTGGACATCTCCAAAGCTTGTAACTGCCTGGATCACCGCATTCTACTTCACAGACTAAAGAGCCACGGAATCGGAGATCCTGTGCTTGGTTTGATTGACAACTTTCTTCACCAACTGTCGAATGTGGTGTCCCACAAGGCTCAGTGCTGGGACTGCGCTTTCTCCTGGTGTTTATCAACGACCTGACAAGAGTTATCCCCAAATTTACTGCTTGTCCCCGTTGTTGCCAAGTTGTGGCGGGTGATTAGTAACAATGCAGATCACGATCTACTCCAACATGACCTAGATTGCATTTATGAATGATGAACGAGGTAACTGCTTCAGTTGAACATAGCTAAGCGCAAAGTGATCCATCTGCGTCACCAGCCGGTGAGTGCTTACTAGCTTAGAGACCACGCCTAGCAGATGGCCTTTCAAGAGTCTGACTTGGGTTTAGTGACACAAGAAGGTTTCGGGTGCTCAAAACAAGCAGAGGCATCGAGAACTGGCAATCAACACTTTGGCCTTCTTCGCAGAGCGTTCGATCGGTTTGAACCGTCAATCTTCGCCTAAATATTTGACGCCTACATGCGACCGCACGTGAAATACGCCATGCAAGCTTGGCAACCGCGGCAGAAACCATATCTCGTTGCTCTCGAGATTCCTGGACGAAGGGTAACCAAGAATATCAGGGGCCTTTTTCATCCGCCCTATCAGCTTAGACTGAAATCTCTAAGAATGTGCAGCGGTCGATATCGACATTTGCGGGGTGATCTCAAAATGGTTTACCAGCTTTTGAAGAACTTAAACCACATTTGTCATCCGCTGCTGAAATTGAACCTCAACACTAGTCTAAAAGGTCATCCTTTGAAACTAACAATACGTTATAGCCGGCTTGAATGCCGTAGAAATTTCTTTTCCATCCGCATGTGCCAGCCTTGGAGCGCCCTCTCTCATTATTCCGGCTCGGCTCCCGAGCTGGCCATATTTAAAAGCAGTTGACGAGGTGTTGTCCCATTTGCATTTCATTTTATATGTTGTTAGCCAGGGGGCTGCAAAACGCAATCAAACGGTGTGTTACCAAACTGCCAACTAATGGATCACTACTTTTAGTACGCGAACATCTCCGCTATTCCACATAAGTCCACATATAAGTCCCACATCAGTCCACCACAACGCTTTTCACTTTATCATGCAATTTCATTTTCGCAATAATTTCCATCCCACGGTAGTTGTTAAACATTGCTTTTCTTTTACCCGTAATGCACCATTGGTCCATTGATCAATCAACCGATGCTAAATTCGGTGCAGTACTTTTGACCACGCTGCTTTAGATCTGCCAATCAGGCGGAAGCGGATCTACACCAAACTGCAGATGATATTGTTAGAGCCATTATTGCGGAGAGTGACTGACGCTTACACTGATTGGAAGGTCTGAAAAGGAAGCTAAAGCTTCGTGGTACTGAAAGTGACAATATGCCTAAGGGTGGCATCTGATTGGAGCTGGCCAAGAGAAGCACGGCAATACGATTTTCGTGACTGTAAGCATAACCGAATTTACAATGTCCTACTTGCAGAGAAGTGTTCCATATCAAATTTACCTATCTCCAGCTAGAATAAAACAAGAATACGGCACATGAAAGTACTTCGATTCTGCACAATGCCCAAGGTTATGTTATTCCGAAAAATGCTTATCCCCAATGCTCCAGGGATGTGGGCGACCAAAGAAGTTAGATGAGCAGATAATCCGTACGACGATAGCTTCATCGGAGATACACATCGCGCACTTTCCACTCCAGTGCTTCCTGTCAAGCTCTATCTCAAGACAAGCGGAATGATCGTTTTTTCCACTCAGAACGTATCACTGAAACTCTGGTAACAGCCCTTACCTACTATGCCAACGGGTCATTCGTGCATGGCACTATAAGGTTCACCTCCCCATATATGAGCAATATCGAACATCTCATTTTACTATCAGCGATTAGGACGAAGTCTAGGTCGACAAATCCTGAGCAACGGCTGTGACCAGAGCACTAGCCGAAACTAGCTCCTATCGATCGCCATCATCGGTGCCTGCAGCAGGGATTAGTACACTATCATCTTCTAGTGTATCTACTCTCCTTAAACCCTCTCGTAAACAGATACTAACCGGAAACGAAGGAATAGAACAGGAACAATGGTGCTGTATCCGTTAGAACCTCTCATTAACCGTAACCACAAGGCTTATGCCAAAGATAATGATAAAGATAATTATAATTAAAACCCTACTCAAGCCCTAGCAGATGTTCTCGGACCTGCTGATAAGCCGGTACAAATTTCCGACTATCTTTCAAATGAAATGCAACTTGGGTTTCATGGCTTGTGGCTACCAGTAATGACTGCATCACCGGGAAAGTAAAACTGCCTTCAAATTGTCCTGCTGTGAACAAACACAGATTTGCAATTATACATTTTGACACAGGAAGTGGGACATAACGATTACTGAAAACCTTTTGTTTAACTACGAGAACAGGGTGTAAACGCATGATAAACTACACACCCAACAATGCTTAGGGACCTTAGGGGCAATTGGTCAGCCGTAGGAGAATTTGTAGCTATTCCAACGGTTGCACTCTCTCGAAAAGCCGGGCGCAAGATAAAATATACCGTAGTCCACATTAAACTTTGATGACGTTAGAAGCGCCAGTAGTAAAGGTTTAGCCGTCGCGGCAAGTGATTTTATCGCCTCCGTCGTGTTTATTCTGAGCAAGACCCATACATTCTAAATAGGTCTGCACATAACAGAACATCAACTCGGCTCTGCCATGCTAAACATGAGTTTAGACATTGGAAGAAAACTACGGAAGCGGTAGGTACCTCACGCTATTTAGGCATAGAGGCGCCACTGCTCTCCCAGCCACAAACACGACGTTGATTAAGTTAAATCAACTTTTTCTACACTAATAACTGAATAACTTTTGGGGTGAGATTGGGCAATAGTGGGCTTACTTCTCCTTGAGTGAAGTCGTAATCAATGGAGTACTGAAGCTTTCCCAGATGGACCTCTTCTTTCTGTCCGGTACCTTCGTTGTCTTCCATATTGGCCTCAAGACTTTCTAAATCACCCTGAAAGGAAGATTGTTTTTGACATTTTGCAGCTTGTGTTTCTCATTTCACTGTCGAAATACTAAATTCAAAACTTTATGCATTCGCTCTAAATTAAACAATGAACAATGGCGTTATACGGGTCAAGAAGTACTTCCCTACATGTCCCGTTGAGTTGATAAAATGAGTTAGTACTTATCGTACTTATCGTTTGCTATGCTGTAGTCCGGACTTCGTGTGCTTTCACTGCACAGACAGATGACAACTAATCAATTCAAGTTCAATCCAAGGAATTAGAAACACAGCGTTCCCTTTATTCATTCAGTCAGTGCAAACAGAAGACATAAATTGCGATGTGTTAACATTTCGACGGCTCTCCACATCGGACACAACTCCCCTGGTTGAAAACCAGTTAACTAGTAAACTGCAAATCCTCTTGATGCATGGCTATCTATCTGAAACACAATACCGTCAGTTGAAACCGACAGGAAGGGAAACACCAGGAATGAGAGGCGCGCCGAAGATACACAAGGCGGGTGATCCCTTACGACCAATTATGTGCATGAACAACGGCCCCTCCCACAATGTTGCTACTTGGTTAGCGGAGCTGTTAGAACCAGTCCGTAAGTACTTGGCAACGCACTGTTTGAAACTTATTCGAATTAATCGAGGCACTGGACCATACGTTGCTAAACACAGAGCACATATACGCGATAGATGTGGACTCGCTTTTTACGAACGTGCCTTTAGGTGAAACAGTCGACGAATTATGCAACTTCTCTTGAGCCAGAACCTATCTGTGAGACCCTCCTGAGTACCTGAGCGATCTGAGTAATTCGCACAAATGATGTTCGATTTGAGTTTGGGGGAACTGCGTACAGACAGGTCGACGGGGTTGCAATGGGAAGCCCTCTGCGCGCGGTTCTGGTGGAGATATTCCTTGGGCTGATTGAACGCAAAATCGCTAACACCATTGATGAAGCAAACGTTATGTAGATGACATCCTAATATTCACCAGTGAGGAGCAGTTTCGCCGAATTTTTACCCTTTTGAATTCGATTCACCCCAATCTCTCTGTATCGTTTAAGATGGAACAGCAAGACAACCTACCATTTTTGGATATCCTCATCAAAAGACGACCCGGAGGTACACTCTAACGCACGGTTTATAGCAAAGCCACATGAAGCGGGCAATACCTGCATTTTACCAGCTTCATCCCAGTTGCATACAAGCGAGGTCTTGTCAAAACAATTACACAGAGCCAGGCGCATTTGCAGTCCAGAGATGCTAAAGAGTGAAGAGGAATTCCTACTCAGAACTGTAATGTCTAACAGGTATCCGGAGAAGTTGATCCAACTGCATAGCAGACCAATCAAGGAGAAGTTACCAGTGCAAACGGCTGAGTAGAAAGCGGTTTATTTATTATTGCCCTTCAAAGGGGACCATGTTTCAAACGACATTGGTCACAAGCTCAGGTCTGCTCTCATGCGAACTTACACCACCGCGCAGTTACTCATCACCCATACCACATGAAGGATTGCTCTCAACTCCCGTCCGAGCTGCTCGCCAGTCGGTTGGGCCTTTCATGTTATTTACCAGTTCACCGGTAGTTGCGGTGAGGTATACATAGGCAGGACCGAGTGCCGATTAGCTCAAATAGTAGCTGAGCAGTTCCCTCAGTGTTTAAGACAGTTCATAGGGAACCAGGAAAGGAATGGATCAAACAATGAACCGGAACACCGCCTCGTCTATCACAAAGCCATCAAAGGCATTCAAATGCTATTGATCAACCGTAACTCGAAGAAGCTGGCGATCAGTGAAGCGATACTGATTGCGGTGAACCTGCCGGCGTTGTGCACGCAAAAGGAACTGAGGCAATCTATCTGGTTGCCGTGGTCCTGAAATTTCAGTTCAGTTTTACCCATATGATTTCGTTCAACTTGTAAATACGTTACTTCTGAAATGTACTGCGTTTGCGACTGAGGAGAACAGTTGAAATATTCACATACCGCAATTTATGTCTTTGTTTGCACTGACTAAATCCAAAGAGTAGAATAGAGAGATAGTGTTAATTAACTAAGTGGAAGTGGATGAGTTCCTCCGCCAACCGTCTTTTAAAAGTGGCTAGTGTATGTACAGAAACGACCAAATCAGGGAGAGCATTCCACGGGTGACATACACGAATGGGGACGAAATTTCTGCGGCATTCCAGACAGCTGTACTTTTCGGCTAGTTTCAGGGAGTGACCTCTCAGGTTTGTATTACTGGTGCGTTGCTGTAAGGGACGACACACATGATGTGAATGGCGCAGAATCTAGTAGGCCATCATCAAGTCGCCTCGTAATCGTCGATACCGTCCGCTGACTAGTCCCAAATATTTCAGCCTCTGTTCAAATGGAAAATTGCGCATTCCTGTGAAGTATCTGGTGCGTCCTATTCCTCATTTAGACCTAAATCAAAATCGAGTAAATGGGCGGTGAAGTGAAGCTCCTGTTTCGGCGCCGGCAGGATTGCTTTTTCACGTGCTTTCACCTTTAGTAAAACCTCAGCAGCCCTTAACCGCAATTCAGATGGGAGACATTTCTGATTTCTACATCAACTATTGAAGACATCAGTTGCTGTTTGCTCTGACTAAACCACAAGTTTAAAAAGGTTTCAACCACATTCTCTGTATTTTGGTAAAAGGTGTAGCTTTCTGAGCGATTGCGCTACAACACTATCCAAATAAAGTGTTACGCGAATGAATCGCCATTATTCCAAATCGTGATTACTGGACTAATGACTCTGGTTAGAAGGAAGCTCTGACATGCCGTGGTTAATGATTTTGTTAAGGCGATTATGCTTGCTGTATCCTTTTCCAGTGTTTCTTTTAGATTGTCGCACGCTCCATGGGTACTCAGGGTGTTCAGAGTAAAACGTTTTCAACATTTGTGGTGGATTCCAGTGACACTCCAATATGTTTTCTTTTGCCTTATTGTGCAAAGTTCGGATGACTAGGCTTGGCTTTGACGTTCATTAAACTTCACAATGAGTTCCACTGATCTTGTTCGTCCGACAGTTTGTCCAGCAGTGTAATAGCGGTAGATTCAGTAACATGTGTACAAATAGCAGTCAGGGAGCTACTTTTTGATCCGTTTTGTAGTTGAGCTGCAAGGTTGAATGATCGTCGGTCTTGTCTTTCTCCCAAGTGATGATTGTCTACCGTTTATCTCCTTATGTCGCGTTAGTGGGCTTTGTAACAGAAGAGACCGTAAGTGTGGCATCCCTGGTGACATTTGCAGCCATCTCTGCAAATGTGACTAATGTCCCGGGAAACTTGGGCTAGGCAAGGAACACTAGAGCTGTAAATGCCGTGAGCTGTTGTTCGGCTGCCTAATCCTTGCTAATGACAGAATTTGTTGAGACCGAAATAAATTTGATTAGCCACACGTTTTGGGTGATACCTGATGTTTATTGGCCTGTGCATCTTCTGCCCATCAGAGCTACGGTCCGTTTCCGCCTGTCATTCGACCAAAAGAGGAAGAAACAAATGGTGAACCACTCCTTTGCCTGAAGACCACTACGCTCATCTGGTACATACTAGCTTCCAATAAAGTAATCTTAGTGTGCATCTACTGTTGTGTCTCTACTGCTAGCTGGTAGCAATTCTGTACTAATATTAACATGCACTTGACAAAATTCGTGGTCGAACATGCCGTATAAAACCGAAGGAATTCTGCGGTGCTATTACACCTACGCAACCTTTGACCAGATAAACTAGCACATTTTGGATGCGAACAGGCTGAAACTAAGTTGACTAATCGACTACACTCTTCTGACCCACGGAAATCCTTCGCTTGGAGCTCTCTTGGATTCGTACTTAGTTGCTTTTTGCAACTAGGTGACTTAATGTACCTGAAACCTCCAGGTTGGGGGTTGGAATGAGGGTGGCACCTTATTTCTTAAAACGGACTCCTTGTAGCCCAATGCCAAACCCGCTGCTTTGCGGTAGGGTTTTTGAACCAAAGGCTTTGGTTGAGAACCCTAAGCGTTCTCCTGTCTAGGCCTGGGCAACCTGACAGTATCCTGCCAACGCAATACTACAACTTCTCTTCAAACAGTTTCTTGATGCTCTGGCCACCGCAGAGGATAATCAACGATGCCCTATCTGCTGCATCGAGCAGGGTGGATAGGGGTTTGGATGCTACTGCTCAAGCCTTCCCGTCTTCTTATTCCCCATCTTACGCCTTTTCACTCTTACCGTCCCCTTCCAACTTCACTTATATCCCCCCAGTTTTCAACCCCCGATTCTTGGCCCTCCCCCAACATATTTTGCTAGGCATTTATCTTCTAATTTCAACTCACATGTGAACGCGGAGCGTCACTCCTCTCCTGTCGACAAGCACATGTCCAACCAAGCGGTCCATTCCAGTTCATTGGCTTCCATTTGGAGCCCACTATCCTCCTTCAGATTGGCATGCCTCAATGTACGCACATTACTACAGATCGGTCAACATGCAAGACTTGCCCGAACGTTGGAGACCCTCTCGATCGTTATCTGCTGCTTATCAGTGACCCGCTTGCAAGGCTCGAGCTCTGTGTTCACTCTGCGATCCCCTTCAGGTGACGCAAACAGTATTTTCTCATTGCGCCTATCCGGTGACGATACAGCTTCGAGCACCGGCCAAGCTGGTGTTGGCATTGCCCTGAGTCCCCGGGCTGTAGCTGATCTGGCTGATTGGATTCCGATCAGTAGCTGGATGTGCGCGATCCGATTGGCTGGCTTGTTCCAAGCTTCGAAGTCGCGCGGGACTAATTGGTCTCTATTCATCATCGCTGCCTACGCGCCCATAAACTGTAACGATGATTCGGTAAAGAACGACTTCTACAGCCAACTGATCTAGCTCCTTCGCCACAGAAGAAGCACGGACACAGTTGTGTTGGCAGGGGATCTGAACGCACAAGTTGGAAAGTTGTCTACTGATGACATGCATCTGGGCGGTCAGCACTGTGTAGGCTCCTGTTATGATAACGGTGAGCGG